CGGGACGAATGGTCTGGGGTACCGAAATCACGCCCTCGGTGGTAAATTTAAGAAAAACATAAGTTGATTGATACTAGCATGAAATGACGATGACAGGAAATTCAGAGATACTAGTATATGGTCAGATGCAGTAGTAATGAATGAAATGTATGCAAACCGTCGTCAGTGATGCATATTTATGTGCTGCTGCAATCGCTATTTTCTTGCACATTTTACATTGACATGAAAATAATAATTGTGTTTCGAATCTTCTTTGCCGGTCATGTGTACGAAACCTCGTAGTAAACACCATTGCAACAAATGGATATAATTTTACTATAACAATTATTATTATCATCATATGCGTATCATTTTCCATGTTTGGGGCAACAGATCGACGAATGAAGGCGTGATTTCGGCACGAGCCGAGTCGGTCCTAAGTGGGTCCTGAATAATGTGAACACAACTGCTGTAATCCCTCTGTAAACACAACAGATTAAAAATTTCGGCACGTGCCGAGATCCTGTAACGTGAACGTAGCAATTAACATAAAATAAATACCATATTTGCTTTATTAGTTGTGTATACTTGTAAAAATTGCATTAAATTATTGTGTACCAAATTATTCAAATTTGACATACATGTACTGTAAAATGACTAATTTTCACTGTGTTTAAATTTTACTGATTCAGCATTTCAGGCATATTCAGTAGGTTTTAAATTCACGGTTTCGTCATTTAGATAATGTGTTCTATGCTAAATTTTACATATTCACTGTGTTTTAATTTAGCGCATTTTTCCAGTCAGCAAAATAAGCTAAATTAAAACCCAGTGAATAATTACCCCCTTTACAGTACATGTATTGACCATAGACTCTGTCATTTATGTAAAGACATGTGTGTATTAATTGAACAAATATGCTATATCAATTTCTATCAAATGGAGAGAATCTACTGCGGATTTGGTCATGATTGAAAGTTTAGTCTAGTATTCTATCTTATGCAAAATGAAATGAACTGTATATATTACTAGATAATTTGGGATTTTAAACCAAAGAGGAGATCAACAATTTTTTCTCTGCATGCAAGGACACAAACAGGCACATCAGGAAGCAATACTGTAAAATACTTTATTTTTGCTTGGAATTAATTTTCACTATTTTCGCTGAAGGAATGATTCAGTGAAAATAAAATCCAGCGAATATACCTTGTTTTCTATCTTTTACATTAAACTCATCAAAAATCAGTGAAAATAAATTCCATACAAAACACCTTTCAGCGAAAATTATTTCACAGTATTGTAATTACATGCTTCTCAGATAATAAACATGAATTTTAATCTCTAAAAATGTTCACAGACATCACCTGGTACCAAAATTCAGCTAAACTTTTACACAAGCACCGCCATCTTGAACAAGTGTTTTCTATTCAAGTAGCAGTGTGAACCATACAAGTGACATTACATGCTGCGATGTACCTATTCTGAAACATGTATCATGAAAGTGAAGGCATGTAATAAAAAAGATTGTTCAACTAATGCCATAACAAAAGTAAAAACACTAACATGAAAACAGTTTCCATTAAAAGATAATGCTTGAAGGAAAATAATCTTTTTGTTTTTTTAATACCCAGTAGTTCCATCATTCTCAGCTGGTGTCATAGTACACCCCATTGAAGTATCTAGTCATATAAGGATAAATTGTGTATTTTATTTTTATAAGTATTTATTTCTCGCATGAATCTGACAACATTTGTCTTTGTGGACCTTGGTGTGAAAAGTTGTATACTGGATTAGAATGTTGATAACCTTCCATCAAGTGTTCTTCCATCACAGTAACATGTATAAATTTGCGCAGTTTGTTTCAGTCTATAAATATCTATCTACATTCAATAGGTTTGAGACATTGGATGGGACAGCTGAAGCCGGTTCTGACTACATAGCACAGCGTGATACTATGGTGTTCGGATCCAATGAGACGCAGAAGTTCATTGACATTGATATTATTGATGACAACGAGTGGGAACCAGATGAAGTATTCTTTGTGAAGCTGTCAGTAGACAGTAAAAGTGGAGCTAAGTTGGGAAAAAAGAACACCATGCAGATTACTATTATTAATGATGACGGTCAGTGTTACTTGTATCTCATGAAATTGATAGATGAATGACAAAAAAAAACTACTGATAATTTGTCCAAAAAAAATCCTTAATGAAAGGCAACAAATTAATGTCAGACTCTGTTTGATTAATTTCAACATAATATTTCAAAGGAAAATGTAATGTTTCATATTTATGTATCACTTACATTTAAATCTCATTATCGAATGTACCTTGTTAAAATATCCTTAATGAAACTGCACTTTCCAAAAAGCTCTTGATGCTATAAAAAAAAAAAATAATAATAATTTTGATTTTAAATATTACTAACAGAAGTATATTTGTACAATATTTTTCTAATGTTTGTACATTTTTTTAAGCAAAGGCTAACGTTTTTGACCTCCTAGCCTGTGGTAAGAAAACATGCACAAACACTTTAATAGCATTAAAGAAAGAAGTTATTAAAATTGTATCCGATTTTAAGACCCAGTTTAGATCCTCACCATGGGCTACCGTAACTAATTATGTGCAAACAGTTAGATTAGGTTAAGTGCCTAATATGATGAAACAAAATACCATTGTATTTATCATTCATTTTTTATCATATTCATAATCATTTGGGATATTATTTCCAACGTGACAAGCAACATCAGTGTAGCTAAACATATTGTTCTCAAGAACAAGAAAATAAATGGAGTGACAAAATATGATACTTTGTACTACTGAATTTCTAACCAATATGTAAACATACGAGATTAGTTTTTATCTTAGCCTCGACTAGGTGTAGCCTGAATATGATTATTATGCTTCAGGCACAAAACTGAATGCTTTAATAATTTAAATATAATCCCTTCAGTGCTCTAGTTTTTGATATCTAGGGTAAATGTATCTTTGAATCTCTTCATCATATGCCAGCTTTTTCTGCAATCAATAAATTATTAAAAAGATCTCTGCATCTGGATAAATACTGCTTTGGGCATTACTTTTGCATTTTCAGTTATTTAATAATAAATTCATCGAGTGGGCGTCCTATTGACGCAACCATGCGAAAAAACATTTTATCATTTATCACATTTGTGCATGAGTTGTATTGACTGTATACAATATCCCTGTGACTTATGCGTACTTATGTTTATGATACAATGGTAAAGCAGTATATCAATGTCCAGTGGTAAACATGCTCACACTTAATTTATTATATTAATTATGAACTTATGCTCTCTGTTTATTTGTAACAAAACAAAATATAATCATGATAGCTATTACAAATACTGATACATTTTGCTTAGCACTGTATCATATCATATCAGATCAGATCATATCATATCATATCATATCATATCATATCATATATCATATCATACCATACCATACCATACCATACCATACCATACCATACCATACCATACCATATATTATATATCATATTGTATCATATTGTATCATATCATATATTGTATCATATCATATCATATTGTATCATATCATATCATATCGTATCATATCATATCATATCATATCATATCATATCATATCATATCATATCATATCATATCATATCATATCATATCATATCATATAAGATTTTTCAGCTCATAGTTTCCCAACATCTGTGCCTTTGATAAAAAAATCACTTTTCAATGAATAGCAGGAAACGTACTACCAGTAGAAATTCAGTGGCAATACCATTGTGTAATAATGCTGTTATTATAATAATTTCTCAACTACAGAACCAGGAACCTTTGAGTTTACGATGCCAAGCTACTTAGTGAAGGAAAGCATTGGTGTGTTACAGGTACCAGTCTCCAGAAACAATGGAACTGATGGAAAAGTTGTCTTGAAATGGAAAACAACTGACATGACTGCGATCTCTGGTAAAGACTATGAAGGTGGAGAAGGAGAGTTAGTATTCGAACATGGCGAGAAACAAAAGAGTATAGACATTCCGATTGTTGACGATCAAGAGTATGAAAAAGATGAGTCATTTAAACTTGAACTGCTAGAGGTTAGCGATGGGGCAAAACTTGGAAAAACCAGGACGTCTGTTATAACAATAGTCAATGATGATGGTAAGTTTATATTTTCAGGTATCATCTTCAGAAATGCCCTTGTGAAAATTATCCATAATTCTATAATGTTACTAGATGGCCCATAATTGCAACAGCTTGACTGGCTTGTAGATTGCATGGTTCAGGATTCTATTCTTGACGACCGTTTGATAATTTGACAGCTGGATGTGACATGTGCTATTTTGTCAAAAAATTATAAATGTTGTTTTGAAGGAATTAACTAAACTGAATAAAACACAAATTACAAATATTATTAAACCAAATAACTGTACAGGAATAATCCAAGCTGTGCAACCAAGAAATATTTTACCAATTAAAAAAATAAAACTGGTTTAAGTGTTTTAAACCAAATTCAATTGTCACCTTTGCTTTCACAAAATAAACTTACTTATTATTTTCCAGAATTTTGTCAAACATTTTGATCAACCAACAACCAACCAACCAACCAACCAATAGGAAATTATCACAGTCACTTGCGGGCTGAAAAATCAAACAAATTGATCAGTAATATTCATTGATTTTTGTTCTTGATTTGTCATTGCTACTAGCTTCTATCTATTAATGTGTATTTTATATATATATTTTAGTTTAATTTAGTAAAAATTTGTTTATGTGATTTTGTTACTGAAATTGAATTAGAATATGTATCATTTTACATACTGAAGTGAAATAAATTTAGTGATTGGAAAAAATAGTTATTTATGTATCTCCTGACGCCATAGTCATTATTTTCACAATTTGAGGTAAGAAATGAATCTTTGAAATGGACTATATATCAATTTTATGGTTGCCAAGTTTCATAACTTTTAAAATTGGGAAAAAATTAATAAACAGTACTGGTTTAAATGGTTTAAATGACTGGAGATTATGTCTCCTTGGTTTAATATTACCTGTAAATTGTTCAATTCCTGTGGGTTTTATTACCTGTCTGTTTGTTTGTTTGTATTTTATGCCTCTTTTTAAAATATCCCATCATCAGATGAGTGTGAGTATAACAGAGCATCTGGTAAACACACTGACAGTGTAATTGTCAACTACTGTCCACTGGATGTAATGTCACCTAAATGGCACTAAACATGTACAAATACTCTTTATGACCAATTAAGAGCATAGTGGAATACCCATTTATTGTAGATTGCAGTAAACCATTTATCATTATAGTATTTCTATGGCAACAATGTATCCATGGTAACATGCATCATGCTGGGAATGTAGAATCTATATTGCACTATTATGCTAATAGTGATATTCTGATTATAAAGGGATATTGACAGGATATTGATAGGATATTGATAGGATATTGATAGGATATTAACCATTATGGTATAGCATCTGTATAAAAGAAATAAGCATGATGCTGAATTTGAATTTTTTTTATATGCTATGTTGTCACACAAACTTAATTTATACTTGTAGACAGATAGTGTGTCCTGGATTCTTGAATACTGAGAGGTTCGAATTACAATTAAACATTCCACACATTTCATAGATCATGCAGAATTACTTGACTTTAATAAACAGATCAAAGGTCAAATAAAGATTATACCGGTAGCTTTGGGGTTGCATCAAAACATTGCGTGGGATTTGTCAAAAGTAGTTTTAAAGTATTTACCTGATTAATGATGTGTTATACACATTTGATTATAGTCAATTTGAATGAAGTAAAGATCAGATCCGCATTTTGACATTAAGATACAATAAAGAAATTTAATTTCAAAATCAATTTTTGAGCCAGACGTTTAGTCTGCGCTATTCAGTCTTGCAGTGAACTTCACTTCTGTGTGTTTTTTCTCACATAGAGTACAACAGCCTGCTTGATCGTGTAGTCTCAATAACCAATGTCAACTTGGATCGTCTCCGTATTGGTAATGCTTCGTGGGCCGATCAGTTCAAAGAAGCAATGAACGTGAATGGTGGAGATATTGAAAGTGCTACTTGGGTAGATTATGTCATGCACTTTTTAACCTTTGGATGGAAGGTAAAACTATGTTGTTGTTTTTAAGCTTATTTATTTTTTAATCACAAGTATTCTGTTTGTTGGGTTGCCACTCCTTGAAATAAAAAAAGAAAATATCGCAAATTTGATCTATAATCTAAGAAATATGGTAAGCAGTCATATAATCCCAGTGTAATTGGAGCACATCAGTTTTAAAAGTTACTGATTACAGTTGAACTACTTTTCAGACAAATATAATAATACAAGTCTATGTTTACAATAGTGCATCAAATGAGAGGAAACGCAATTCAGTACTTGTACATACATACCAGGATATCTTTGGATTGGATTCACTCAGTGTTAATCAAATACAAAATGACAACTATCCAGTACTTGTGTAATGTACTAGAAACAAATTTAAAGTATATCGCTGTTTTACATTTATGTATGTGAAACTCTGATTGAGGACATTCTAACCACAAGTTTATGAATTCCAGTTCCTTGAACAGCTAATATGTGTTACCACAATATGTATGGATTTCCCCCTTGTATAATTAATATGAACAGTGATTCTACTTCCTCAGAACATGATATACAAAAAGTAGATTTTTTTTTGTCAGAATGACAAATTACGAAATATGGGCACTCCATTATGCAAAGTCAGAATACATTTGTAATTTCTACTAAATTTGTAATTTGTTTTTCTAGGTGATATTTGCTTTGGTTCCACCCCCGTCATTCCTCAATTCTGGTGGATGGATCTGTTTTACTGTGGCAATCAGCTTTATTGGACTTCTTACAGCAATCATTGGTGATTTGGCAGCGATATTTGGTTGTCTTATTGACCTGCGAGAAAGTGTTGTAGCTATCACATTTGTCGCTTTGGGGACCAGTTTACCCGATCTGTTTGCCAGTAAGACTGCTGCTGTTAATGAGAAGTATGCTGATGCTTCCATTGGTAATGTGACAGGCAGTAACTCTGTAAACGTGTTTCTCGGTCTTGGCTTGTCATGGCTGATTGCGAGCATATATTGGACATCCAAGGTAACTTATCTTATTTTCTACTTAATATGTAAATACAATATTTTCAGGAATTTTGACAAATACTATAAAAAAAAATATTATTTGGCCTTATTGACAAATTATTGTCACCCTTTAAATATAATGAGCACCTACACTTTAAAGGAATTATTTATTTGATTATTGCAGCTAAATGAAAAAGTCAAGAAACATTTATTCTATATCTTTATTGATAAAGAGTATTGAAATTTTGTCGCGTTTTCACGACAAGTTTTTATACCTGAACAGGACTATAACAAAGTAATCTGTTTACATTATAGCCAACACTTGAATGACAAAATAAACTTTTGTCTCTTTTCATAACATATTAATTATGACCTGTAGTCAATAGAAAAATTATGTTCATTAAAAAAAATACTTGAAAATAAACAAAATATTGCATTAAACTGTTGGTGAAATTTCAGAATTACTGTAAAATGACTAATTTTCACTGGTTTTAAATTTCGCTGATTTACCATTTTCAGGCATATTCAGTGGATTTTAAATTCACTGTTTTATCATTTAGGTAATGTGTTTTATGCTAAATTTTACATATTCACTGGGTTTTAATTTAGCCCATTTTACAGTCAGCGAAATAAGCAAAACTAAAACCCAATGAATAATTAACCTCTTAGCATATTAGCTTGTGTATTTGAGAAATTCCCAATCAAAGTACACTGCTTCTTATTATATTCATTCTAATTGATTGTTTGTTTGTTTTTTCTATATTTTTCTAGGGTCTTGTATTTGAAATGGAAGCTGGAGCTCTTTCCTTCAGTGTCATGATATACACTATTTGTGCCATTATGTGTTTAAGTCTCTTGGTCTTACGACGCTTTATTCCATTTTTTGGAAAAGCAGAACTTGGAGGACCTACAGCAGGTCGATATTCCTCTAGTATATTTTTAATACTCTTGTGGATTATTTACATACTCCTGTGTTCCCTCCAAGCTTACGGATACATTCATTTCTAACTCACTAAATGAGACAGTTGCATTTTTAATTGTTTCTTGTGTATCCAAAATTAATTTGACCAAAAATCTGAGAATTCTAATTCGAAACTTCAGAAATAAGATTCTTGAGATAATAGTCTTCAAAATGTCAAAGAAACTTTTATTTTTGAATGTTCTTCATTATTTTTCTTTCAAAGTTACAAAGTTTTTGAAGTCATAATTGTACATTCCAGGATCTATCAATCATATACACTGTACAAACACTCCCAACGTTATTTTTTAGAAACATTGAAGCCAGCAATGTTATTTTGTTTAGTGCCATATGGGAGCAATAACATTATTATTATGGTTAGTAATGATTTTTATCACTAACTATCACAGTGTCTCTCTACCAATGATTGCTTTGATGGGTTTTGAATTGAAGCTGTGGGCATTCCAGTATTTTGTATTTATCTCAAAAATAAAAATATCATGAGGTTACCACCTGATATCACTTGATTTTAGTGCACGCTGATAGGTGTGACTGAAGTTGAGTGGTTGATACAACCCATCCCATGATGTCACAAGTATCAACCAGCTTGACAACTAAGTGATAACAGATGATGGTCTTTTTAGCACATAACCAATGCAGTGCTGCTTGATAATTTATGCTAATTAGGCTCAACATTTAAGTATGTCAGGGGTTGTATATTTGCAGTTATGGTGGTGGTTTTTGATAACCGACAGAAATATTAGGCTTTGCAATATTTTTTATGAAATCAACTATCAGTCCTCTTTGTTATAAGTTATTAGTCCCCGTTCGGACGAAGTCCGAAAACGGGGACTTATAATTCGGTCTCTGTGCGTCCGTGTGTCTGTGCGTCCGTCCGGAGTCATATCTCAGAATCCCTTGGACCGATTCCGTTCATTCTTTGTATGTGCCTAGTACTTTATGTGGGACATATGCACATGCAGTGGTTTAGCGATTCGATTCAAAATGGCCGACTGGCAGCCATCTTGTTTTTTGAAAATGTTGTATTTTGGACATGCTTTGTCAGTTTTTATTCAAACTTGGTACATAGATTATACATGTTAGGATACATGTCCATGAT